GACTCGCGGTGCGTTTGGCCCCGGCGCGTGCCATCTCTTGTGCTCGCGGCGTCGAAAGTCTGGGCGCGCTGGGCCGGCCGCACACAGGAGTGCCCTGGGGCCTGGCGGCCCTCGGACGGGGCCGTCATGCCCCCGGGGGCCCCGGGTCGGATGTTCGAGCGCCGGGGGCATGGGGCGATCGCCTCTGTCGTGGGAACAAAATGGCCCTCCGCGCTTTGGGACGATTTGCTCTCTGGGGCCGCACCCCCTCTTCGGCGTGCCACCCGGAAGATCTTTTTCGGGCGTTTCGACGTGCCCAAGCACAAGCGGCCACACCCTCGTCCCCTGGCCGCTAGTGATGGCCGTCGGGGCGCGCAGCGGCGGGTCCGGGGGGGGCCGGCCCCCATTTCACAGCACATGCTCCCGAGCTGTGGAGGGGGCCAGGCGCGCTCTCCCTCCCTCTTTCTCTCTCTCTCTCTCTCTCCTCCCTCCCCCCGATCTAGGTTCGCCCGCGCGATCACCATTCGCCAGCTCGCAGCTGGCATTAATCTGAGTTCCGACGAAGAGCGCCCAGTCTCCGTTGGTGGGATACACACCGTGAAGTGATTTGGGCGATGGGTTTCCGGGTGCTGAACCCGGGCGCGCATCTTCGCTCCCGGGCGTTGGTGAGCGGGAAGACGCCCCGCCCCCCCATGGGGGGCGGGAGCCTTCAATCCACCCGCGGACGAGCGATTCCTGGGAAGACCGCCTCTGGCGACGTATTCTCCCTCTCCTCTACCACCGCATACACACACACACGGACACACGGACACACGGACACACGGACACACGGACACACGGACACACGCACGCACGCACTCGGGCCCAGACGCGTACGCAAAGCGGCCGGCGTAAATGGCAGACGGAGCACCGTCGCCCGGTGACCGGGTGGATACTTCCTGCGATCTGCTCCCTCCCTTGGGGCCGCGTGGAGAATGCATCGGAGCGATACATATCTCGCGCCCCATTCACACCCATACCCATATTCACACGCACGCACGCACGCACGCACGCACGCACGCACATGCAGGCACACACCGCGCACACCCGGCATCTCCAGGTGGGATATCCTCCCTCATGAGCGTGCACCAGGTACCGGCTCCTGGTGCCGGGCCCCGGGTCCGGACCGGCTCTGGACCGGGGCGCACAGGCGTGGGCCCGGCCAGCGACCCCACAGGCTGTAATATAGCCCGCCATCACAACGCAGACACTCGCCCTGCCGGGGCCCGGGAAAGGGGGGGGGGGGGGGGGGGGGGGGGGGAGGCAATACACGCGAAGCCAGCCGCTCCCGGCAGCGTCGTATGCGGGTATGCGAGCGTGCATGTGCGGACCCCTACCGCCGGCCATGTGCGCAGACGGCTTCGCGAATGTAGCCCAGAGCACCCACGGGGAGCGCATGCGACCTGCCCTTGGAGTTCGCCTGCGTCCCGGGGCGCCTCCCGGGAAATGGACTGTCAGAGGCGGCACCGATTCCAGGCGCCATATCCACCAGCCGACGGACAAACATCCCCTGGCCCCCGAAGCCGCCGTTGGCTGCCCTCGTCCGCTCCTCTGCCTGGCCGCCGCTACGTCCAGCACCCTTGCTACCATGTGTGTCCGGAGGCGGCAGGGTCGCTCTCCTTCTGGGTGTCTCGCTCTTCTCTCTCTCTCTCTCTCGCTCCCCTCTCTGCCCCTCCCCCCGGCCCTTCGCCCTGTCAAGCAGTATGCCGGAGGCCCTCCACGCAGAGCCCCCGGCTGAAGGGTCTCTGTTTGGGCCCGAGTATGCCGAGCATTCCTCCGAGCTTGGGCGCCCCGTGTGTCGGCCTCTGCGCGCGTGGTTCGGCCAAACGCCCACGTTCCGAGGTGCGTGTGTGTGCTCACGTCTGCCTGGGAGCCGCGCATGCGCTCCTCCCCCCGCCCCCCCCCCCCCTTGGCAATAGCGGTGGCATGAGCCCCCTCTCTGGGGACCCTGCTCGGTATTTGGCGCCCTCCTGGCGTCCATGCAACTCGCAGATCCATCGCCGTGCTTCTGCGCGAGTCGGCGTGCGTGCCCCTTGTCTCGCCTGCTCGCCTCCCGCCACCTCCATGCGCCTGTGCTCGGCCCTCAGACCTCGGCCCTCGGCCCCGGGGCCCATACCCTGTTTGGAGGCCTCCGCTTCATCATGGGCCGGATACATGCCACCGTGTGGCCGGCATCCGGCTAGGCCGGCTCGCAGGCCTCCTCATTTGCCGGTGGTCAAGCACTCGGGCCAAGGAGGTAGTTCTGTCCCCTGGCCTCGGGCTGTGGGGCCCCCACGCCTGGCCAAGGAGACACATTGGCGCTCAGCATGCCGCCGACACCGTGGCTTGCCGCGCCGTGTGTTCGCCACTTGCGAGGAGGACCCGCGCCTGAGAGACGGCGCCCCGGACATCCGAGGCCGTGGCCGCTGGGCCGACGCCCAAAGGCGGTCTTTTTTCCTGGGCGCTTAGGAGCCACGTCCGGCCGCGGCTCCGGAAATTGCTAATAGCCTGCTTGCTGCCCCCGGTACCAAGGCCAGGCAGCACTTGCTTGATGCTCGTAATCCCCCCCCCCCCCGGGCCCTGCCTCCCTCTCCTCCCACCCGCCCAGGGGACCCAAGGCATAGGCGGGGCCTTTTCCCCCGTCCTCCCCCCCCCCCCCCCCCGGACCACCGGTGTACAATGATCCGGCTGGCTACCTTCTCCTTTCGAGCGTCGGGCTTCCCAGCAATGGTTGGCAGGGGGGGGGGGCTGCGGGTCGCGATGCGTCCCGAGGCATAGCCCCGGGGCAAAGATGCTCCACGCCCCGGAGGCGAATGACAAGCGCCCAGGGTCCAGCGTCTGGACACTTCAGTTGTTGAGCGTCCGGTCGGCCAGGGACCAGGTCGGTCCCAGGCCCAATGTTTGTTGCCGGCAGGCGTTCCGGCGAGGGCAAGCGCACCATGACCCCCCGCCCCCTCCCGGTGCCCGCTCGGCCTCCCGCCTCGCGGGACGGGCAGGGCCCCGGACTCGCCCCCTGTCAATGTGGATCTACACCCGAGTGAATGGGCACACATTCAGATGTGCGGGCATCCGTCCATAGGACCGCGAGTTATGGGGCCGTGCACCACTGCATCAAGGGGTGAATGTTCGAAAGGGACTGGACCACAGGGGTCAGCCCTTTCCGCGATTTGCTTCACGCCGAGCGGACGAATGCCTCTTCACGCGAAGAGATCCCAACGGGGGGGGGGGGGGGGGGGG